AAGTCAGAAAAGGATGCTACATGTCTTGGAACTGGGTTAATAGGCACCCAATTGTGAGCTACTATACGGGTACTGGGAGCTAAGCTCAGGTCTTCTGCAAGAGCAGTAAGGGCTCTCAACTACTGAGGAAACTCTGCAGCCTCCCAAGCAACAGAATCTCTAGTTAAGCTTCCTCCTTAAGCCTGCCCACACACCTTCAATTAAATTTAAAGGTGAGAAATTTGGAATCCACATGTCAGTAGCAAAGGGCATTATTAAATGCTCTGTGAAGTTAAGAACTTGAATGGTTGTTCAAATCGTCCTGACGGTTACATTTTTCCATGGGAAGTATGACATTTGGGCTTGACAACCATAGAACATACTGGAAGTTCATTGTTGCCTTAAGCTTCACAATATAAAGGACTATGTAAGTTTTCTTTGATGTAAAGAAGCTGGTATTTTTGTAGGACAAACGTAACAAAAAAATCATCCTAACGGTGAAAGGCACTGATTGAGGGAAATAACAATGGATATAAAGTACTTGTTTTCCTATTATCATCACTAGTCATCACTATCATCATCATCATCATCATCATCATCATCATCATCATCATCATCATCATCATCGAGACAGGGTCTCACTATGTAGACTTGGTTGTTCTTTAATGTTCCATGTGACCTGACTGGGAGACCCACCAGCCACTGCCTCCCAAAGGCTGCGATTAAAGGCCATGTACTACCATTCCATCTAAGTACAGTTCTTGGAATATCAGCCATGAGAGTGATCTAGATTTTCTGAAAACTGCTAATATTTGTGTCTCTAACACATATAGGACCTTTAAGAACCAAAAGTCAACAGCAAAATTAACCCCACCACTATGCCTTAAAGGAACATGGATTAAAGGCAATACAGAAACAATGGAAGAGTAAGTTACACATGTATGCATGCATACATACATATATAAAGCAGGACTTCAAGAGAAAAGCGCTATCACTTTGTCATGTTTAGGAGAGGGAAGAGGGACAGGGAGAGAGGAGGAGGAAGGAGGAGAAGAGAGGAAGGGACAGGTACACTGAGCTCCAATTTGGAAGGTGGTGGCAAGGAGACCTGGTGTGGCAGTCCCTCAGTGGGAGAGCCTTGGTTTTACAAGTAGGAGGCCTCTGTTCAGGCCGCAGTACTGCCAAAACAAACAGTCAAAAACCCAAAGCCAAGTGAGTACTATCTGAGAAAGGACCTCTGTAAAAGTTTGGGAAGCGGCTAAAGCAGGAAGTCTAACAGGACAAAGAGGAGTTAATAAAGGCGATTTAGAATGTTTGCTGCATAATCTAGTAAACTGGAAGCTTATCTCAGATGATATCATTTAGTGACATGAAATTTTATTATTTTTGCCGGGCAATGGTGGCACACGCCTTTAATCCCAGCACTCGGGAGGCAGAGGCAGGCGGATCTCTGTGAGTTCGAACCAGCCTGGTCTACAGAGCTAGTTCCAGGACAGGCTCCAAAGCCACAGAGAAACCCTGTCTTGAAAAAAAAAAATTCATTATTTTTAACTTTGGGAGAACAAATTTTAAGAAGATAGGCAGCATGAACACAAACTTGTTGAATTCCATTTCATTCCTAAGAGTGGAGAGCAGTGAGGGTGAGCAACGTGGATAGAAATATTTTCCTGCTATAGATGTGAGACAAGGGACTGCATCTCTTTTGTTCATCCTACGTGCTAAGTATCTCTTAGCAAACGTTAAGATACTGTTTCTGTAATTAAAGCATTAGAGAATACTATTAAAACAATGTTTTGATTATTGTATCTATCACTATCACTAAGTCTCTGTGCACGCCTCAAGTTATTGTCAGAGAACTATCAAGAAAATGTCTTTGTTTATGTTTCAGTGCTAGTGATCAAACTCAGAGCCTTGTACATAGCAGGTACTGCTCAGTCGTATCCAAACCCCAGGGATCTTTACAGTCCTTCATGTATCTAGCTTAGAATGCATAAGTATTTCAAATGGTGTAATAATGTATATTTAGCAACAATGTGAAACGAGTTTGCCATTGAAGTATCAGTTATTTTTACCTGTTTGACAATTTGCTTCAACTTACAGAGAAGGAAGACTGTGGAATTTTTATGGTTTCAGACTAGAGTAAGACTATTTCCAGAAATATTTACCTTCTAGAAATAATAGGGATGACAGTAATTCCTTGGGAAAAAAATTTTAATATTAACAAATTCCAAATACATTTTATGAGTACAATGTTATTGTTTAATATACACTACAAAATCCTTAGCTTTATAAAGTATACAACTGTCTAAATATCAAAAGAATCCCACTCCTGATATGAAGACTAATTTCTCTATTATATCAAAATTAAAATGTACCCGTAATCTAACACTGAGAAATAACAACGTAATAAAGTCTATCTAGACACCATCAACAAGGATCTCATAAACACCTTGAATACATTTAAAGTTTATCTTTTGCTTTTCAGAAATACGTGATGTTTCCTATTTTAATAGCATACATCAAAGGATCAAAACATGAGGGCAGAATGAACTTGGAGGCCGAAGATGTGTTCATTCTAGAACTGTGTAGCCCACAGGCATTTTCCTTTCCTGTGCAAGTGAGAAACAAAGATACCTTCTTGTGTGAATACAGCTTGTTAGGAAAAAGAGGAAGAATGGGTAACTTTTTTAAAAGATTTTTTTTTTTTTACCAGAAACCTGTCAATAGGGTTATTTCCCCCCCCCCCCAAAATATCAAGTTTCAAATACTCCGGTACTTAGCTTTGCCCTACTTACAGCTGTGTTTTTCTTTCAGCAAAATGACCATTACAATGTTGTTCAGTTTTTAAAAGGGGCATAATGTCTTATAACCCAAGTAACACTGAGCTCAGACCAAACTCTCTAGTGTTCTGCCCTCCTTTGACAAGTCAGTCTAAGAAGAAACCTGTTTTATTTTAAAGGAAAAGCACTTGGTTATAAAAAGGTCTAAAGTTCCTATGCTTTCTATTGAGTTTCATCTCAACAGTTCCTACCAAAGCATTTCACATCTATTTCTTTTATAGAATTTATCTTATATTCTAAATACTGTTTTCTTTTAGGAAGTTTGCAGCATCTTAAGGGCAGACAATATCGTATTTGCCCTCTTTTCTGGTGCTGGGGTTTCAGCCCTGGGCTGCAGGCATGCTGAAGGTAACCCACACCTCCCAGCCTCCCAGCCCGGTGTTCACCTTCCTAACAGGTTCCTAACCTTCAGCTGTGTTTTCTCCCCTCTTGTAGAGGTTGGTAGTCTGTTAGACACACTGGATCTGTGAGATAAAACTGAGAAAAAGCTGTTGCAATCTTGATTAGTTTATTTTTGAAACAAGGTCTCAGATAGCATAGGCTGCCCGGAGTTTCTGTTTCCCCTGCCCATGCCTCCGAAGCAGGGACATTTGTTCCCATGCCTCCTTGTGCCTCATTCCATTAGTTTTATGGTATAATGTCAACTAAGGATTTTAAGGTTCCTTGTATGTTTTTAAAAGCCTGACCTGGAACTTGCATTTCTCCTGCCTCCACTTCCTTCTCTCTCGCGGCTAAGATTACAGATGTGTGTTACCATGTTCAGACATAAAGCTATTTTAAAGACAGACAGATGTAATATTAATAAATACATGTAGGAAGCATTTGAAGCACGTTTTTGGGAAAATAACATGGAGAAGATAGACAGAAAATTACAATTGCTGAGGACTGTTTATTCAACGGTGTCAAATAATAGTGAATGCAAAAGACTGGGGATTTGGTTCAGTGGTAGCGTATGTATGCATGCACAAAGCCCTAGGTTTAATTCCCAGGTTACAAAACCCCCAAAGAAACTAAAATGTAACATATATAAGAATGAAGACTAAGTAACTTTGTTAAAAGCTAGTTGATCTTATAATATTGTGCACTTATGATTTAAAAACACACGATGACAGAGCCAAGGAACTACACCTGCTACTTCAGATAACAAGGTTTATCACATAGGCAAAAGGATTGTAAAGCATATTTGTTATAAGTATCATAAAAAATCTTAAAGAGACATTTCCTACCACTGTGTTTGCAGGGAGGACATTATTTACTAAGGAGTGCTTGACAACTGGGGGAGAAAAAGAGAGATGACCCAAAAGTTGGCAAAAAAAATCAAACTTCCATTTCTTTGTAGGAAAGATTTATAGTTCTTTAAGATCGGGCGTGTTACTGTCATATGGTAATCTCACCAAGTTGAAGCAGAACTAAGTTAACTCACTTCTCCGAGCCCACTTTTACACTACTGAGCAAAGCTTTTCGAAGGACGGGCTCTTGTTGAGCAGTTAGTGACATAAGGCAGGCCTTCCAAGGTGCGAGTGGCAGCCAGAGGAACAAACGCGATACATCTACTTTATAAATAATCAGCATTTGCATAGCTTCATCACAGAGACACACATTGTTTTAGAGAACTGCATTTTATTTCCATTGTGAATTAAGGCTGATTTTCTAAAAAAAAAAAAAAAAAAAAGAAAGAAAGAAAGAAAGAAAGAAAGAAAGAAAGAAAGAAAGCCAGGTGGTGGCACACAATTTTAATCCCAGCATTCGGGAGGCGGAGGCAGGCAGATCTCTGTGAGTCTGAGGCCAACCTGGTCCACAGAACAAGTTCCAGGACAGGTCTCAAAGCTACAGAAAAACTCTGTCTTGGGAAAAAAAAGAAAGAAAGAAAAAAGAAAAAAAAAAGTTGATGGGAAGGATAAGTTAATTTTGTTATTTTAAGTTAACACAACACAGTTAAAGTACTTTCTTGTGACTAAATTATCCTGTGATACATTAAGTGGGGGGACAAAAGCTATTTTTGACATAGAAAAGGCAATTAGTAACTAGTTTAAAAAAAGAAGTAACAGCCGGGCAGTGGTGGCGCACGCCTTTAATCCCAGCACTAGGGAGAGGCAGGCGGATCTCTGTGAGTTCGAACCAGCCTGGTCTACAGAGCTAGTTCCAGGACAGGCTCCAAAGCCACAGAGAAAACCAAAAAGAAAAAAAAAAAAAAAAAAAAAAAAAAAAAAAAAAAAAGAAGTAACAGCTTAAGAATTTTGTTACAAGGAGCAAATGGGTACAGGTCTAACTTGTTTATTAATTTATCAGCTATGAAGATGGAAATTCAGTACTTTTATTATAAAAAGGATCATTTGCACTTATCTATTAGTTTGGTAAAGTAAAAGCTAGATCTTGAATTCTGCACTGTTTTCTTAGAAGCTGAGTATAACTCACCAGTTTTTCTCAGTCTGAGGTACTTGAGGCCTCACCTAGCTTGGAGTCTCAAAGGCATTTCACATTCAAAATATTATTTTCAAATTATTTTACAACCTACTTTTAAGTTCAATGGTTCCTACAAGGAAACCATGATAAGCTTATTTTGACTAGTTTAAAAAAAAATACAAAAGTTAAAGAAGAAAAAAAAAATTGCCCTGTACCCCAGAGGTCTTATTCTAAAAATGTTCGACCACAATCCCAATAATTTAATTAATACAAAATCCAGTGGTTTTAAGTTCACATTTAATGATTAGCTCCCACCTCGCATATTCTTTAGAATGTAGTATCCCAACTTTGGTGTAGAATGTTTTTCCTCATAGGAACGTCTCACTTGTCATTCCTGTTTGACAGCAGTTTAGAAAACACAAGCAGAAACACTCTACAGTGTTTCCTAGACAATGTCTAAGCACATAGTCCTCGTGTAAGGCACTTCTACGTGTTCTCAAAGCTGTCGTTACATTTTCCCATTTGTCTTAGACTCAAGTCTCTGCAAGTTAGACAATGATTGTTACTTCAAGTAAAACCTTAAGAACGTGATTTTAGTACAACTGCTCTGTCTCTTCGATGGTGGGAAGAAGGGCATCAGGTTCTGTGGAAGGAAGACCTGAGTGCAGATCTTGTCTAGCTTACACTTAGAGAACTGGTAATGGTTTACCTTGTTGATCTTGTTGGAGAAGTTTGAAGTCTTCCAAAGGAAGATCGTGTAAGGCCGTGGGTAAAATGTGTTCGGAGAGGCCCTTGGGTAGCATGTTATTGGCTTCTAAACTCTTCACCAAGCACGTGGCTTTGATCCATCTTTGAGTTGCTCTGCGTTCTCTTTGTAGGCAAGTTTTCATTTTCCTTCTTAAGCTTGCTATTTCTTTCTCTAGTTTAATTATCCTTTTTTTCGCCTCCATGGGGTTCCTAAAGGCATAACTGTGTTCGAGTAGTACTTGCTGACTGTTCGACTTTAAATTCCACGGTCCAGTTGGAGGAAAACTGTCGTTTTTCTTCAAAAGACTCCTTGACTTGAGTTTCTGAGCCGAACAGAGAGTTAATATAAATTACGGATATCACAAATAAGTAAACAGTGTCCAGTTTTGAGCACACATTATTGAGAACTGCTAGGTATAATGGGCAACAACAGCACACCATCTCATGTGACCATGGCTAGAGCGTCTCAGTAGGCTGAATGAACTTGAGCTACCCTGTACTTTTCTTTATTTGAGACACGGTCTCTCTACCTAGACCTCTCTGGTGGTCACGAACTTGGAACTTGTCACTGAGACCAGAGTGGCCTTGAATTTAAAGAGATCCACCTGCTGGGATTAAAGGCGTGTCTGTGCCGCCAGGCCTCACTAGTTACTTTCTTCCTTATCTATAGAGACAATCAAACATTGATTTAGAAATGGATCTTTCAAGGTTTCTTCCACACTATTCGATATTATTCTTTGTGGGTTTTAAAAATCTTTTTCAACTCTTTTTACTAAGACCAAACTAGAATTTGTTTAGACATTTCACTTATCTATGGTATTGACCTGATTTCCTTTTTGCTAAGTGTTAGTCTCTCAATTTGATGAATAATTCAGACCTGGAATCTACATAAACAAAACTCACATGTCTATAGAGGTATGTTCTCAGGTACCAAGTTCCCAAACAGATTTACTTATTAATTCTTCGCACTAAATCTGGATAGGAATTGCTTTGTCTGAACAAAAGCTAAGGATTCTTTTGTTCACTATACTCCAGAAATATTAAACCACATTTTGTTTTCCTATGGTATCACATCTTCTTATAATCATGTCTTTCCTTTATTAAACAAACATTCTTTCAAGATATGATGGTACACACTGTGATCCCTGCATTCAGGAGGCTGAGGCAGGAATACCATAAATTTGAGGCTAGCCTAGAGTTATGCAGTGAAACTGTCTCAAAAAAGCCAAAGCATTAAAAAAAAACAAACAAACCATTTTTGGCTTTTGGAGGCAGAGGCAGGAAGACATCTAGTTCAAGAGAAGCTTGTAGGGCTGGAGGATAGCTCAGTAGTTGAGAGCACTGGTTGCTCTTCCAAAGAACCCAGATTCAATTTTCATCACCTATATGGTGGCTAAAAACTGTTTGTGACTTCATTTTTCCAGTAGATCCAATGTCCTCTTCTGCTCTCCACAGGCACCAGCATGTTTATGGTGCAGACATACACTCAAGCAAAAACACCAATACATATAAAATAAGATAAATCTTTTTTTTTTTAAAACAGAATAGCTTGGGCTAGAGTTTGAAGATAGCTTGGGCTACCTTAAGAACAAGATAGTCTCTCTAAACAAAAACAACAACAAACAAACAAAAAACCCAACCACATCGCTTTTCAATAATTATGTCCTGGCGAAACAATGCTGAAAAAAATTATAGTTCCTACGATCATAAAAACTACAGCTGGCCTCTCTTCAAGAGAAATGGCAGTCTCCCTTTGCTCTTCATTTTCTCAACATGTAACAGATTTTGTCATAATGAAAAGTTTAATAGTTATTGGATGGGGCTGGAGAGAAGGCTCAGTGGTTAAGAGCAGTGGTGGTTCTTCCAGAGGACCTAGGTTCAATTCTCAGCACCCACATGGCAGCTTACAACTGCTTATAACTCTACCTCCAGGGAATCTGACACCCTCACACAGACATATATGCAGACAAAATACCAATGCACATAAAGTTAAAAATTAAAAAAAAATAGTTATTGGATAAATAAATGATCAAATGTCAGAAATAAAGTTCCATCTTCCCTTTTCTTGAGATAATGGCTCACGAAGCCCTGGTTGGTGCTGCCCTTTCTATGGAGCAGTAGAACTGCTCCTCCTGCCTCTACCTCCTGAGTACCTGAATAACAAATGTGCATTCCCTGTGCATTTCAATTTCAATATTTGAGTGCATACTCGGGGTCAGGTATGCTTTAAGGTGCTCAAATTTGAAAGATTTAGACATGAGAAAGCCCTTGTTGTTCTATAGCTTTTCCAACATCTTAAGCGGCAGCGGCAGCAATTCACAACCTTTCCACCCATTAAAACATTAACTCATGTCCACTTCCAAATTCAAATGCCAGTTAACCAACAGCCTTTTCTTACTCAGTATGAAGATGCCCTTTTCCAAAACTATTTTTCTAGCTTTTCTTTAGGTGGCTTTTTCAGTTTTCTTCTCTAATCAGCTCTGACCTAGTCAGATCAACGTTCCCTTCTTTCTCCTCCTGTCTTCTCTCTGGTGCGGTCCTCACTCTCTGGACACACTCCACTACAGAGCTGTATTTGCAGCCGCAAACCAAGTGGTTTTGTTTGTTTTGTTTTTGAGACAGAGTCTTAGTCTGTAGCTCAATAAACAGACCTCAATTAGTAGACGGGGCTGGCCTCGAACTCATAGAGCTCCAACTGTTTCTGCCTTTGAGTGCTGGGATTAAGGGTATGCACCACCAGCCTGGCTTAAACTCATTTTAATTCATTCACCTGGCATTTGATTTTCTCTTTTCTTTCAAATAAACCAACATTTGATAACTTCTTTCTCATCTCTCAATTTATTATCTAATTAAATTGCCCTATGCATGGCCAAAAACCTCCTCTAGTGTCCCAAACTCCCAAGGTTTCATCCCTAAACTGAATAACTCCATTGTTTCTTATAAAGCCTCAACTGAAACCACCATCTCTTGGTGTAAGTGAATATGTGTTCTTAAAGTACTTGCTAGCACATCACTTGTTATCTTAGAATCAGAATAGAGTGATTCTGGAGCTGTCATTACTAATCTTTTTGTTTATGCCAATGATACACTTACTGATAATTGTGAATAATTTTAGTTATGTAAGGCTGCATTTCTGGCCAAGTACCCTATATGCAAAATGCTTGGGACCACAAGTGTTTCATCCTTTGAGGATTGCATAGACTTTTACCTGATGAGCATCCTTAATTGTGGACATACAGAGTCCAATATCTGGTATTCGTTTGGACTTCACAGGGGAAACGAAACTGGAGTCAGGAGACCTAAATTCTAATTCTAGCCTGTACCTTTATAATACAAGCAGACGCTGTACAGCTTTTGGGGGTGTATCATTACACACTCATTTAGCACAATGTGAATTGCTCACTTTCACAAACAAGAAGTAATAGGCTCTAAGACATGTTTTAAGAAAGGAGAGCGACATCACCTACCATAGACTTTATATGGGTACAGAAATCAAAAATGGTTGGAACAGCATCCATTTTAAGTCGTCGAGTTTGTCCTGTTAGATCAAAACAGGAGGCTTCAAAGTGCTTTGAACAAAGAAAAGTGTGTTTTCCTGGCACAAAATTTTTGCGCCTAACCAGGCGAACCCATTCTTTTCTTCTTTTAGGATCCAAAGGAAACCTTAAAACAAGCAAACAAAAAGCAACTCAAATTCCAACTGTCCTATTTTTGTTGTACTCAATAGTTATTTAAAAAGCCCTTCATTTATGTAAAAAAAATCTCCAGATACCAAGTTATAATTTTTATTTATAAAAATTTAGTGAAAAATTAATTTTCTTATGTTTAATTTCCAAGACTTTAAAAAGAGACATTCCATTCAACCTAGGTTTTAGGAAGGACAATAACTAAAGTTTAAAGAACACTCTTCTGTAGAATCATCACAGGCAGGAGTAACTTCACAATGCTGTTCTCTGATGCTGCAGCGCATACATCAGGTATGTTAAAGACAACATTTTTACAAGGAAAGTCTGGGCAAATACACTCCTTTCTGTCTTTCCTACCTTACATCACAGTTTTATACTTTCTCCATTCAAATTTCCAATAGTACAAATTACATATTTTCAGAGAAAACTTTATTGTGTGCATGCACACATGTGCAGGCAAACACGGAGATCAGAAAACCACTTTGGGGAACCGATTTGGTTCTTTCCTTCCACCATGGGTTCCGGCATGGAACTCAGGTTCTCAGGCTTGTGTGACAATAACAGTGTTTGCCTGCTGAGCCATCTCGCTGGCCCCGACGTTTCTCGAGGAAAGCGATTATTATTATTAATCTGCTTATCTTTGACCATGCCTTATAAACAATAACAACTCAACACAACTTGATATAATACAGAATATACAAACAATTCGCTGCATTCTATGTAGTTAAGCTGCATTTAAAAAATTCTGGAGCTATGGGGCTTAGCAGGAAACATAATTATAAAAAGATTATGATCCATGAGCTATCCCTTTCCTTTCATATTCATTTCAAATAAAAAGATACATCCATCCAACACATACTGCTTTTAAGGAAGACACAAATACCAAGGACTATTTTTTAAAAATTCTAACAATTCTAGCTTTGTGAAGTGACTTGGAAATGTAAGAATAAACATTCACATATAGTTAAATTCCAATTCCAATTCTTATTTTTCTTTTCCATTTAGGGCCAGTGAGATGACTCATTAGGGAAGAACCTCAGAACCTGAGTTTGATTTCCTGGACCCACATGGAGGAAGGAGAAAAAACCCAACTCCCGCAAGTTGTCCTGTCCTCACAGGCTGTGGCATGTGCACACACAGTCTTTCTCTCTCAAAGATGCACAATAATTATGAGTGTGAATAAAGGTCCCTTTGGTACCAAATGTGTATGATATATGTGTGTGAGCATGTGTCCCAGTTTGCAAATGGAGGCCGGAGGCCAAGCTGGTGGAGTTGGTTTTTTCCTTCAACCTCTGCATGGGTTCTGGGGGTCAAATTCAGACTGATTTTCACGGCAAGTGTCTTTGTGCGATGAGCCATTCCGCCAGCTTCTAAGTCTTCTTTAGATTACTTCTTTGATTACTATATCCTCTATAAGTACTCATTTGTATAAAAAAGAACCATAAAGTCCATGTGAGATCATGTGGGTCAGAACTAGATTTCCACACCTTGCCAGTGATGAGGAGCATAGCAATGAAGGCCCAAGTTTACTCTAAATATCCTTTCTCACAACAGACATGCCCTGAGGACTTGCTGTCACTCCACAGTACATAGTATTTCATTAGAGGATATTTTCTGATAAATCGACCAACCTTGCTTAGTACTCAGTCTCCGCTGCCCTCTGAGTTCTGAGACAGGGTTTACCAATCCAACTCAGGCTGGACTGCAGCACACTGTGCAGTCCAGGGACAAGCTAGACTCTGGACTATATCTGCTCAGACTTTCACGTGCTGGATTACATGAGCGAGTGGCTGCATTTGGCTTAGCACGTACCTCCTAATCTGTTCTTGGCCAAAGAACTCTTATTTCACCTAGTGGTGTGTCAAACGTAGTTAGGTGTACTTAATTTTACCAGGGAATCACTGAAATGAGCAGTATCATTTGCAGCCCATTGGCTTCCCCCTTCAGTGTTGGAATGTGGGCCTCTACCACCACAGCGGGCTTTAACACATTATCTTTAATTATGTTGTAATTACGTGTTATGTTTTGTTTTTGAGACTCTAACGTCACTCAGGCCGACAACAGACAACAGGCTTACTATTGCAGCAGAGGATAACCTTGACCTTTTGTGATGGCCTGGGCAACTCTGCCTGGTCCTTGAATATGTTGCTTGGATTTTTCACAGTACATTTTAGGGGTAGATGTGGCTCACAGGCTAAATTTAAATTAAAAACATCTTATATTGAAAGACTTACATGGTGTCAACGGATGGAAACAGTCTTGTCCACACAACACACCCTGAGGTTTTATACACTTATGTGTTTGAGCAATGTTTTTTTTTGCTTGCATTTTAAATAAATGGCTGAATACCTCTTACATTTTTAAGCACCGTAGACGTGGTGGTAATAAAAAAAAAAGTCTCCCTCTGTATACAGTAACTGAGAAGGTAAAGAATCAAGTAATCCTAGCATACTAGCAGAGTGGCTGAGAATATTATTGGATAGCCCAGCTAGTTCCTTTGCACAATATCTGGATATAACAAACAAATTTACTTATTTACCATTGAGGTACATTTCCAGCCCCAGGTATTTTATTTCTATTATGTGTTCTATTTATTTCTATTAAATGCTTCTAAGGGGCTAAGAAGATAGCTCTGGCGGATCCCTGTGTCAGTGACCAAGTGCGGAAAGTTTCCTCTCAGAAAGAAGGAACAAGACAGTGCCTGAAGAACAACCGTGGAGGTTGTCCTGGCCTCCACATGCACGTCTGCAAATTCACATGCACACATATGTCTTTTAAAGATTAGACCGTGGAAATACCTAGCTTAGTGGCATGGTGGGTCTTTTGTAAAGAAGTAAGTATGGATCTGCATGGAATAGGATATGCTGATTTATCCAGAAGGCCCTAAGAAAGGACCTTATGTGGGAGGAGTGATGTCATAAGGCTATCTCAGGAGCAGGACAGGAAATAAACATGGAGGGCCTTCTATGTCAAAAATATTAAAATACATTCAAAGTGCCATTGACAAGCCAAAGGGCTGAACTGCAAGATGACCAAATGAGCTGATAAGTTCAACCACTGTAAATGGCTAACTGAAACATTTTACTAATAACTGTTTTTTTTTTTACAGGTTCATTTCTAATCATGTGTTTGTGAGGATATATACACACAAACCCAGGGACCCAAGGAGGCCCGAAGTTAGATCTCTTAGAGCCAGAGTTACAGACTGAACTGTCTGATGAGGGTCCTGGGAACTGAACCTGGGTTCTCCAGAAGAGCAGTACTTATTCTCAGCTGCTGAGCCATCTTCCCAGCCCAATTTCTACCTTTTAAAGTTATTTATGACTACTGCATCTACATGGCAATAGATTAATGTGATATTGTACATCTCTTCTTAGCTCCACACTCAGTCATGTCATGTGGCTTGAAACCATGCTTGGTGAGAGGAAATGCATCTCAGAATCTGGGCAAATACTGCAAACTGGGGCTTTCCCCTGGAAAGAAAAATGTTAACATGGAGCTTTAGAGCATTGATTATACAAGGATGGTTAAATTACATGAGTGAAAGCCAGTTAACCAGTTAAGATACTGGTCAAATAGCCAGTCAAAAGGGAACAGTGGTCCATCGTGTTGGATTGCTTCCACCTTGTCGAGGGGATGGCATTTCACTTACTGAAAAGGAGAAAATGGAATCAGTATATTTGCTGGATGGCAGTTCACTACCGAAAATATACACGCCTGGCAGAGGACCAGGAAAGAGCACACATTCTGTCCACAAACACTCTTGTACTCCCTGGCATTCTGTCCACAAACACTCTTGTACTCCCTGGCGATGAGGAGGCCCACTGTTGGGAAATCCTTTAAAACAGCTCACGGCTGGGACACACGAGCACAGGTGAGTCATTTCGCTAAGATTTTGAGAAGGGTTAATAGAAGACAGTAAAACAAAGAAACCCAAAGGACAAAATTCATAAAACTAGTGACAATGTGGAGATTATTTCACTGAGTAAAAAACACTACATCTTTAGAAATGAGACACACAGGTCATGTTCACAGAGGCAATTTTAGGAGGTTATGAATGATGTAGATGTTATAGAGATGTTAGACTGGAATAGGTTTAGAAGGATAAAAAACTGAAAATAAGTTTAGGCAACATAATTTCAAAAATGATTTTTATTTTGTATGTGTACATACTTGAACATATCTATGTGTGCAAGAGCCCAAGGAAGTCCCAAGAGGAGTTGGATCCCCGGGGTCTGGTTTGTGAGCTCCCAAGCATATGTGTGCCGGGATCCAAATCCAGGGCCTCAGTAAGAACACGGAGTACTATTAAGCCACGAGCCATCTCTCTAGCCCCTAGGCAACAGTTTGTGCAGGTGGATAAAGAAGTCTAGGCTGGCCAGGCATGGTGGTAGATGTCTTTAATGGAAACACTTGGGAGGCAGGGGCAGAGAGGTCTCTCTGAGTTTAAGGCCAACCTGGTCTATATATCAAGTATGAGGTAGCCAGGGCTAGCTACATAGTGAGACCCCGACACATACACACACACAGTATCTATGTCCTACAAGAAAAGTTAAATATTATTTGCATTTATAAAAACAGGAATATATTTTTACTATAATGCTTTTAAAACCCATATTTCTTGTTGGTTTGGTTTTGCTTGTTGTTTTTGGAGACAGGATCTTATTTTGTAGCTAGGCTTCAAATTCATTCTGTAACTCAGGCTGGCTTTGAATTCATGGTGATCCTTCTACCATGTAAATGGAATATGGGAATATGTCTGCCTAGCAATTATAAAGACCTAGATTTCTAAGGCTACCATAAAAGTGCTCATTTCACATTAGATGAATAGTATTGCACAGTGCGCATCCTCCTACTCCCTTGAGACAAGAGTTTTATTCTGTAGTCCAGACAGGCCTTAGAACTGGGGTGGATCCTCCTGGCTCAGCCTCTATTCTAAGGTTGTCGCTGTGAACCACCACACCCAGCTCTCCACTGTCCATCTCTCAAGCCCTGCTTGTGGTGGCTAGACTCTTCCACATCAGATTACCAAGTCCAGTAAATTCTCCTCAAACATTTCTCAAAATCTGTCTACTCCTCTCCACCTTTACTGCCGAGAACATCCTGTTCGAGGCCACTGAACGGATTCCCCATGTCCTTTTTTATTTTGAGACAGGGTCTTTGCAGCTCAGCTGGCCTCGAACTAAAGACACCCGGCCTCTTTCTTATTCCCGAGACTACAGACAAGCATTACCACAGCAGGCTTGGGCTCCCTTTTGTCACAGCTTCCTACTGGCTTCTCACTCAACTCTCGCCTCCTCTAATTGAGTGCTCCTGTACCCACAACTGAGCAGCCCTGTTCAGCCCAGCTGACACCTAACATGCTTTCCCTGTGAAGGAAATAGCAGATAAGTTAACGTTCTGTAATAGGCTCCTTTCTTATCAAACTCATCTCTGCTGACGCTTGCCTAACTCGCTAAGTGTCACTCTGAACTTCACAGCAGCCAGAAGGCTTTTTCTTATGTAAATCTAATCATGCTACTAAGTCTTTTTGCCTTCTTCAGGGCTTCTCAAGTACTCTTCTAACAAAACAGAAAATGCTTCCGTACAGAGGACCAGACCGGACTTCGGCCTGTGGTCTCATTTGACACTTCACCTTTTGTGAAGCGTCCTTTGACTTCCCAAGGCTAATTATGTCTCTTTGAACGTCTTTTCTACGGCACTCAACTGTAGTTCCTCCTCTATTGAATTTTAAAGTCCCTGAGGGTAAGAACTTTCTCCATCATTAGCATAATGTCAGGCAATTAGGGACCTGGTGTACTGCAGCTGTGAGAATGAACAACGCATTTGCAGGAAGTAGTTTTAAAACAAACAGCAGAAGGATTTTTTTTTTTTTTTAAGTAGCAGCTTTTAGTCAGGGGATGCCCTTAGTGAGGCAGGGAAAAGATCAAAAGATCAAAGCTATTTTCTATATCCTAAGATCACACTTTATAAAGTGGGGTATATCAAGTCAGAACCGTTTTCACTCAGGTTTTTAGTATTTTTTTTTCCTTCGGACAGGTGGCAGTTCTTGACGGAAAGGCGAACATTTACTGAACACCTATTATGTTCAAGTACCGATTGTGTCCAAATGCTTGGCAGAGTTTGTCTTAGCACTACCGAGGCCATGACTGCGTTCTCAGAGAAAGGAAAACGGAACCTCGGTTCATTTTATGCTTGTGTTCTGTTTGCGCTTTGATACACACTGCTTAATTACATGGCCGTCAGTGATGACTCAGTTCCTCGGCGGTTACTGTATGTGCCTATCAGAATGGTTTCCCACGTCAACTCAGCTAGCGAAAAACTGCCTAATTTTAACTCCAACCCAGCAGGCTTTTAAAAGAGATGTGTTGACTTGAACGGGAGACGATCGGTCCCTTATGGCGTCATTCGTCTCAAGGCATGGTCTAAGATATCAAAATAAAAGAGGAGAAAAAAAAAAGGTATGCGCATACTTTTTAATGTGAGGGGCGTCATTCGCAAGAATCCTCATTGCTTTCCGCAAATTGGGTAAACTTTCCTCGGGAACGGAGAAAAAGGTCTCCTGCAGCGCGAAACCGCACACAAAGGACAAAAGTGATGTTCCTCCCCCCTCCTCCGGCTATTCTTAGCAGTCACCAGGCGAGGAACGCAAGTCCCCGCGTCCTTCTGACGCGCCCGGTGACACTCAGACCCGTTTTAGCGCCCGTGGCCGTCACCCCCACGCCCTCGCCCGGGGTTTACCTGTGGAAGCTGATGTTAATGTGCTTGTTGTAGGTGGCAGCGCAGCCCGCCGCGGCGCAATTGGTCGGCATTTCCCCCGGCCCCTCATTCGGCGCAGCCCCGCAAAAGCCGCTGTCACCGCGCAAAGGCGAACGGGCCGGCGACCAGGCGCTGCCAGCCGGGCGGGAAGAGGGGCGTGCACACTACAGGGCAGGGAGGGAGGGCCCACTCCCCTTTCTCTTTATTAATATGGCGGGTTCAGGCCCGCAGAGCCAACGGTCCTGCAGCTCCCGGCGCGGACGCTCGCCTTCACCAACATGGCGGCCACACCCGCTCCCCCTCCCCTCACTCTTCCCCCCCGCCCCCCGGGGTCCCAAAGAGAGTGGGTAGATTGTGTCTCAGGGAGGGGCGCCCGAGCAACGGGAAGATGGCAGGTGTCTTCCCCACCAACGAGTGACTCTGAAACTCAGGTCTGCGACTCAAGAGCAAGCCCGCTACCCGGACAGCTCGGACCCCGCCACTTCAGCCAGGATGCCAGGGACAGCGGCGTCCGCTAGGGACCAAGGGCGAAGACTTGCGCAAGAGGAGAGACTACAGATCCCAGAGAGCACCGCGCCCGTCACGCTTCTCGTTATCGCGAGGCTTGTCAGTGCCCCTTCCGGAGTACCGCCGGAAATGACGATCGGGACACGGCCTCCTCCTCCTCCTCCTCCTTCTCCAACACCACCTCCTCCACGGCTCCTTTCTCGCGAGGCGGAAGAGCAGCAAGGGGGCGCTAGGAGAGGGTACTGGTTAAGCGACGGTCCGGCGAGAGAGATCTGGGGTGCGGGGAAGTTGGGGAGCAGAAGCTGCGAGGCGTCCGAGCACGGGGAGGCCGCGCCTGCCGGGCCCGTTAGGACAGAGGGGATAGGAGGAAGGGGAAGGCAGCGGGCGGGCGGGTCCCCGGACGGAGGGCTAAGGTGGTGTGAACGGCGCTGCTCCCCGGATGGCGACCGCTGAGACTTCGACCCCGGCCTCTAGCGGCCTCTCCCCGAAGGAAGAAGGGGAGCTTGAAGATGGGGAGATCAGCGACGACGACAACAACAGCCAGATCCGGAGCCGGAGCAGCAGCACCAGCAGTAGCGGCGGCGGGCTGTTACCGTACCCGCGCCGGAGGCCTCCTCACCCGCCCCGGGGCGGCGGATCCGGGGGAGGCGGCGGCTCGTCGTCGTCGTCGTCTTCGTCCCAGCAGCAGCTGAGGAATTTCTCACGCTCGCGGCACCCGTCGGAGCGGGGCCACCTCAGGGGACACAGCAGCTACCGACCCAAAGAACCGTTCCGGACTCACCCGCCCCCGGTGCGGATGCCTTCGGGCTCCCTGTCGGAAAGCAGCCCCCGACCGTCGTTCTGGGAGCGGAGCCACATCGCTCTGGACCGTTTCCGCTTTCGAGGCAGGCCGTACCGGGGTGGGAGTCGGTGGAGTCGGGGGCGAGGAGTGGGTGAGCGAGGAGGCAAGCCGGGGTGCAGACCTCCTCTGGGAGGAGGAGCGGGATCCGGATTCGGCAGCAGTCAGAGTTGGCGAGAACCCTCTCCACCTCGCAAGAGCTGTATCCTTAACGTGGCGGTCTGCCCTGGGTGTGTCGCTGGAGCTCCCTTGAGCGTCACGACTAGGTCCCTGAGTTTAACTTTTCGGAGCCACTTACTTGTCTCTGTTCGTCGGCCGTTGTCATGTGCCACACTCCGCCGCTATTTTCTTTGATTGTTTTATTGGACTGGACTGCTTTCGAACAGGAATGTGTCATGGATTCGGGTCAGTTAGGGAAATGAAAGACAGTCCAGGTTTTTAACGGTACACCAGTAGCCCAGATTGCATTGGCATTTGCTGCTTTGCTAAGCACCGGAATTTCGTATTTTATGGGAAATTCACTTAGATTATTAGAGAAAAGAAATGCCCACAACTTGAGGAATCTAGTTACTTATATTACATCCTGACTTTAGAATTCGTTAACTTTCCTCTGTAATTTTACTGCTCTTGTGAAATTTTTCTTACTCTTGTAGTGTTCTCCTTTTAAATTGTGTGTGAGCGCGCGTGTGTGTAGACCCCCTCCTCCTCCTCCTCCTCCTCCTCCTCCTCCTCCTCCTCCTCCTCCTCCTCCTCCTCTTCTTCTTCTTCTTCTTCTTCTTCCAGTTTTAGTAATTCAGATCTTTTGAATATATACGTTGTTTGGAAAGCTGTATGCATTGAGTTCACTTTTCGGCTTTTTAACTCTGTGTGCTGCCTACATGTAGATCACAGAAAGAGAAACTCAGCAACACTTTTAGTGTGTTAGGGAGGAATGTGTAGAGTATGGACACGTGAGGAAGAAAAAAAACCAATTTCCTAATTTTTGCCTCCTCTAACCTTATTATTGGTTATGTTTAACATTACCAAATTTACTCGGGGTTTATGTTAAGAAATTAATCGTCCGTGTTTTATGATGGGTTTATACATCCCAACTTTTACTAATTGTTTAAGATAGATTACTAAGCACTTTTATTACTAGCTATAATTCCCATGGTGTAATGATTGTTTAATACGTTTTCTATAAAATTTACATATGACACTTAATTGGAAGATACTCAGAGTTATTTTTATGGAGCACTTTAGGCTATGTGGACTTTTCCTAGATGTCATGATGGTAATGGGCGAGGGATAATTAAAGAAACAGCAGGTTTTGGTTCCTGTGTCCTGAAAATGCTGTTACTTCTCTCACCTAACATTGGTTTAGAAGCGTTTCAAGATTGTTTTGGAGAAAAATCACAGGTAGGTAACCTTTTAAAACATAGTGAATGTTCTTCCATGAAGATTAGAAAACCTTCGCCCGTGATTATATGCACACATGAGCCATCAATGTTTTTTTTGTTGTTGTTGTTTTGCTTTCTGTATTCAAAAACAAAGGATGTTTAAATACATAGACATGTTTTTAGGGTTATGTAGATGAAACATCTAATAGGTGTTGGAGAAATGAAAATAGAGTTTAGTAAAACCAAATTGAGGACAAAAGTACTGTTGGCAACTTAAAGATTTTCTTAGTTTCCTCTGCATTACAGTGGTGGTGACTAGGCTCACCTGCCTCCTTCCTCCACCTTTTTGTCTGTTTATTTGCTACTGTTTGGGGTTATGCTATATACTAATATTTTTATGTACTTACTGCAAAAAGAGTGTAGCTAAATATCCAGTATGTTTGTGATTCTTGATTTCTCTGACAGCTTGTCAGAAATCAGCTGTTTTGCTGATTGCTTTTCAGATACTATACTTTAAGAACAAGATGCTCAGGTTGATTGTCTGCATAATTGTTCTCATGAAATATCAGCAAACCACTGTAGAGGTGTTCTTAACAAAAATTTGAGAAGGAAAAATGTAATGTGAGTCAATAAAACTTGCAGTACCAAGCTCTATCCACATTCCTTTAATATCAGTATCAAACTCAGCTGGTCATATGTCCACTGTGATTATAAAAAATGGCAACTTTGCAAATAGTACCTAAAAAAGAATGACGGCAATTCTGACTCAGCTTAAGTGGTTTAGGAATGCAATAGCTTGAGTATAATTTTTTTTCTGTCATTATTTTCTTAAACATAATTAGGGATATATTACTTGCAACTTCAAAGAAAACGGAAAAGACCAGAATCTGTTTCAGTTCTTTTTCTTCTTCTGTTAAAATGTTTTTTTAAAATATTTATTTATTATGTATACAATATTCTGTCTGTGTATGTCTGCAGGTCAGAAGAGGACACCAGACCCCATTACAGATGGTTGTGAGCCACCATGTGGTTGCTGGGAATTGAACTCAGGATCTTTTGAAGAGCAGGCAATGTTCTTAACCTCTGAGCCATATCTCCAGCCCCCTTAAAATTTTTTTCTAGACAGGCTTTCGCTGTTTAACATTTCTGGCTATTCTGGAATTCTCTTTGAAGGCTAGCCTACAGACCAGGCTGGCCTCAAATTCATAGAGATCCCCCTGCCTCTGCCTCCCAAGTGCTGGGATTAAAGGCGTGCACCACCACTCTCCAGCCTCTTTCAGCTGTCTGTCTGTCTGTATGTTTTTTATTGCTGTTGTTTGGAGACATAGATTTACATTATAGCATCTTCGGAATTCCCTGTGTTGCCCAGCTTCCCCCAAAGTTACGGCAATTAGCTTGCACCAGTCTCCCTGCAGCTCTTCATTCCCGTTCATTTTCCTTGTAAATTTTTTGTTTTTGTTTTTCTTTTTGGTTTTTCGAGACAGGGTTTCTCTGTGGTTTTGGAGCCAGTCCTGGAACTAGCTCTGTAGACCAGGCTGGCCTCGAACTCACAGAGATCCACCTGCCTCTGCCTCCCAAGTGCTGGGATTAAAGGCGTGCGCCACCATCGCCCGGCTGTAAAATTTTTTTTTTTGTTTTTGTTTGTTTGCTTTGTTTTGTGAGACAGGGTCTCTTGTACCATAGGCTACCTCAGGACTCCTGATCTTCTGTCTTAACCTCCTCAGAGTTAGCATAGACATTTTGTCAGTGTTAGTGTTAAGTCTCCCTTGTATAACTAACATTTTAAACTTTGAAATCAGGTGAGATTTGACATAATTAGGGTCAGTAAAGTTATCCTATCTTCCTTTTTGATTTCAGCTAATGTTGAAAAGTAGTTCTACCTTGAAAACAGCAGGTCTAAAAGTCATTTTAAAGTCTCTCTCGCTTCCTTTTTCATTTTCGGTACTGAGGATTGAGCCCAAGGCTCTACTATAGAAATTACATCACTGGTTCTTATTATAATTTTGCTTGGAGAGGATCTTGTGAAGTAGCTCCCAGCCCTGTCTCAGCTTCCATGGTAGTTGGCATTATAGGCATTTGCCACCAAACTTCTCATGTAAGCTGCTATTCCCTTTTTAAAAGATTTATTTTTACAATTTTAAATGTATATGTGTGTACATACTCCTTCATGAGTGTCTCAGCAGACTTCATGAGTGCCTCAGCAGACTAGGGGTGTCAGATTGCCCTAAGCTGGAGCTACAGGCAGTTGTGAGCCTCCTGATGTGCTTGCTGGGAATTGAACTCAGGTCCTTAGCAAGAGCAGTACACACAACATCTGTGCTATCCTCTCCAGTCCATGTAGTTCTTTTTAGTTTTCCTTCTACCACTGAAGTATAGACTCAGCAAGTAGTTCATAAAAATACAAGTAAAAAATAACATCTTGACAATCGAGCAAGTACTGATTTGATCCTTATTATGCTGTAGAGGTGGGAAGAATTTTGTCTCAGAGGTAAGTTAATGGCTCTAACTCAATTGCTTTTACTCATTTTTCAGTTGGTACTTTTTGTTGGTATATTGAA